GCTAATCTTTTGACATAGAGTTAATTGTAATTGATTGTGTTGATGTTAGATCCTTGATATTATGAACAAATATGGATAGATCCGGAAATGGTTGATTCTTGAGCTTAATTGTGTTGTGCCTAAATGTTAATTTTCTGGAATTTTGATTACTAACTTGTGTTGTATTTGTTCTATGCTATTCACCTCAATGTATATATTCTTGTTTACTAATTCCTAGTACTAATATTCAAGTCTTGCTTACTAATATTTAGTATTAAATTCTAATTTTGCTCACTTTCCATAACATGTAATATTGTAATTGTGTGAACATGCATACACTCATACTAACATTTGCATATCCATGAGGTGTAACATCTTCCATTTGACTCAAGACACATTACCAACCTCTTTTTATACATAAAAACTTGAGATAAGTGGAAAATGTCACAATTCTTGAATTTTTTCTAACCCTTGACATAATCTCATTTTGAGCTAATTTCCTAACCATGATGAGTTTTTACGTTTATGATTAGTGGAACTTGACTTTCTCTATAATTCTGGAACTATTGGTGTACTTTATTTTCAGTTTCTGATACTTTTTCCCGCTTTTCGCTACTGCCATACGACGAAATTGACCTAAAAGTCCCGCTTTCGGGCAGAATTACTTCAAACCGAGTTTGTTTTTGAGTCTGTTGACACGTTTGCAATTAACCATGTGATTTTCGTTTAATTCCGGGTCGATAAATTTTGACGCCTATTTCCCGATTTTACAGTTTTTGATACCGATAGACTCGTACCTTGTGCTTTGACTTTTGCTTAACTTGTATTCATATTTCCTTGTTTATTTGTATACCTTTGCACTTATGTTTGCTTGCTTCGAATTCATTCCATATACACTTTGTGATTTGACATAGTCGTTTTTACCATTTTGTGGCATCACTTGATTTTCATATTATGAGCTGATGATGTAATTATCGGTTGCTTTCTTGTTATCACTAAATTGTTTATTGATTTTGTACAAGGATTACCATAAGGGATTTTGATGACGCTTACTTGCTCGGTATTCCACTTTATTTGTGGGATACCGCATTTCTCATGTGTCGACATCTCGGTACTCCACTTTATGTGTGGGGTACCACTCTTTGCATGTTGCTATCTTTTGTCCCTCAATTATGAGGCGTATACTTATATATTGTGTATTGTCTAGATCGTTGGTTTTCAGGTAGGATACTTGTTCAGTTGTATCTGACACACACTACTTATGTTGCTTTGGTGCTTTGACGCATGTTCTGACTTTGTTTATTGCTGATGCTAGCTTGTTTAAGATTCTCTGGATTTCTTGTTGTTGTCAGTTTAGTAATATATTTTTGCTTGATTGGTAGTCCAATTTATTTCCTTTATCTCTCACACTTTTTACTACATTTTACAGTTTCCTGATGCCATGAGAAGTAGGATAGAGATGTATGATGGGGACTTCCGTTGCTGATCATGTCAGGAACCCCTCTGGTTTATTTAAAGACCCGTTTAGGGAAATTCCGCATTATATTCTATTATATGTTACTTTTGTTTGGCTTGTTTAAAGACCCACCTTTGAAGTGGGCATTCTGTAGGCGTGTTTTCATTTATGCCCAAAGACCTTAAAGAAGGCGCCCATTCTCATTCCCTCATTAATAAGTCCTCAAAAGGAGGCGAGTGGAAAGGGTTCGCAATCAACCCCACATTTCATTTGTGTCATCCTTAGCTCGTGACACACCATGATGCTTTGGAGTATGTTGCTCTTGTTATCGAGTTGGTCAGATGGAAAAGGGATTTATAATTAATCACCTACACTTTGTCTTAAGCTCATGTTGGTCGACGTTGACACACTATGTTTTATCACTTTTCCCCTACTCTTCTTTCCTGGTAATACGATACCATGGTATAGACACTTTTGTTCCCACATATAGCTTGTTTGCCTCGGTTGATATGACCTTTTGGCTAAAGCTTCCCATTTCCTACCTCGATGCGCAATATCTTGGTTAGGCCTTTGTGACTTGAGCTAGTGTGCGCTTCTCATTTCATGTGTGTGCTCTCTGGAGCTTGTGGATTGTTTGTTTGTTTTTATCTTTGTGTATACCACGTTCCCTTAGGCTTTCAATCATTGTATATTCCCTTAGGATCGCTCGATTAAGGTAAATTTTGAGTTAGACATTAGGATATGTATCTATGTATGCTAACGTAGGTAGAGATTTCCCTTTCAAACTCGATCTTAGGACCATCATTGTATGATAATATTAGGGATTAGATTTAGGGTAGTCCCCCTTAGATGTTTTTCTTTCTTTTGCATCCTTAAGACTAAAACCTTTTTCTTGGAAAATGTATAAAACATCTAACAACTATCAAATCCTCTTTCAAGGTAAAAAACACCAACCAACTCAAACATTTTTCTGCCTTCGGGCTTTGCATCAAAACTATCAACTTTTCAAAAAGAACATGTTAATTCATTTCTGTACTGATGCGTGAGTCTCCAAAGGTCGAACTGCGGCAAAAGGAAAATTTTATATTGTTCATTAAAAAACACACAACAAGCCGAAACATGTGAGCTGAACTACGACGCTTTGATTTCTTAAAAAGGATACATAGGCATATGGTCATGGGGCTCACCCGAGCAAAACTGTAAATATTTACTTCTTTTCCCTGTGTTTTCTTTTGCATGCATTTTCTTTTTAACTCTTAAGCATTAGATTTGAGCACACCCTTTGATTAGAACAATAAGAATGGATACCGTAGAGTACTACGAGCGTGTGGGGTGATAATACATTCCCCTTGCATAACTGACTCCCTTACCCGATCTCTCGGTCGTTTGATCGTGATTTCACCATTCTCAGTTTTATTGGATGTTGACCTTTCCCTTCCCGTGGAATAAAAAATGTTCGATGGCGACTTTATTGATTTCATATTGATGATTTGTTCAGCCGGTTTTTTCAAAATGCTATAACACGAAAAAACATACAAGGGATGTTATGTTCAATCATTGTGGTTACGATAGAATTATTCAAAATTATATGAAATAAGTATGGCATGGTAAAGGAACAAAAAAGAGACATTTTTCACAAACAATTGAAGATGATGAATGCATGGCTGATAATCTAGAAGACATCATTTGTAATATTAGAGTAGATGCTTTCAAGAAAGCTAGTATGGTAGATACTTTA